CTCTGTTCCAGATCCACTATCTGCGCCTGACCACGGCCATCTTGCGTCATGAGAAGTCCAGGAAGTACCTGCTCAACAATGTCCTATATCCTTTCGCTGTAATCGCTGTCTGATCTTAGGTTGTGTTCAGGACCAGCAGCTGATTGGTCCACAGAGTTTGGGTCACACTCCTGGTTTCCTCAACAAAGCTTACGTTTGATGTTCTACGTTCTGTGGTCTTCTTCTACATTAAGACTCCTCTGAGGGTCAAGGAGGCGGGGCTGGAGGAGCTCATCCCGACCACCTGGTGGCCCACACACTTCGATAAAGAGGTAAACAGAACCCCTGAACATCTGCAGAACCTTACCAGAACCAGTCTGATAACCAGTGGGAGAATCTGCTTAAAGCTTAAGAACTTCTAGAGGTTTTTATGTTATGAGTTCACTGTTCAATTGAGTGAAAATGGGTGAAATATGAGACTAAAACCATTTTTTTAAACACACAAGCAGAGATTCAAAACACTTGAAGATATAAGACAGACCTGGACATAGAAACGTAGTATTTAGAGTGTACATAAGGTTCAGCTGTGCAGGTCCAGTCTAGAAATGGGCTGATGGTCTGTTTGATTGTGGGGCTACTCGGATGCCAATCTGAACTGAATAAGAACTAATCCTCCTCAGAAAGTGTCGATTTCCTTTAACGAAATTCAAGGAAATGTTCTGCAAACACAGACTGAGCTGAATTTCCCTCCTGCAGGGTAAAGATGAACGAGAGCCCACAGACGAGAGTTCAGACGAGCGTCTGAGGCGCCGAGCATACGAGAGAGGCTGCCAGAGGCTGAAGAAGAGGATCGAAGGTCTGCTTGTTTTCTGGTGGTTTAACTTTTGGAAGATGCTGTCTGCTCCTGCAGATTCTCCCTCTTATTCCTTTGGATGAACTTCTCCTATGTTATTCTTCAGTGGTGGAGGACCTGCAGGTCCAGATCCTCAAGCTGCTGCTCAACAATAAAGATAAAACGACGGTAGGTCTGAGTTAGGAAGCCTAATGTAATGATAAAAAAGAGTGATAATGGTTTAATTTTGTCAAAGTTTTTCACTGGTTGAGGTTTATCATCTGCTAGTTCTTTATCATGGAGCAATGCTACTGAAACAATAGCTGTGTTAGACCCACCTTTGGTGGTATTTGAATGGAAACCATTTAAGTTTAAAGTGATGATCTTTGATGCGGAGGCTTTGTAGGACGCCGAGGAATGATCAGAGCAGGTTGATGTTCTGCTCCACCCTCTCAGCTCTAACTGAAACATCTTTCTCCATCTCCTCCAGGGTGAAGCTTCTCGTTACATTTTCCTCAACAAGTTCAGGAAGTTCCTGCAGGAAAACGCCAGCAACCGAGGGGTAAGAACCACCAGAGAAGCATCAGCATAACATCAATCATACTGTTTATTTAACTGAGTCCTATCTGATGAAGTTGGTCAGTGTGGATTGAGGATGTGTTTCAGCTTTTAAGGTGTTTACTGATGGGCTTTTGGCAGAACAGTAACCATCATGATGACCCAATTTGTGTCTGAGCAGCATCCCACAGCTCTGTGCCCTCCGGAGTACATGGTGTGTTTCCTGCACCGCCTCATCACCGCCGTGAGGAGCTGCTGGGATGAAGGCAACAGGAAGAGCCCCAGCAGCCTCAGCAGTGAAGGTGGGATCATATCATCATCATCATCATCATCTGCTGCATCCTTAGTGATGAAGGAGGTTTCAAACATAATCACTCTGTCTGCTAGATATGAAACACCTGGAACAGCTGATAATAGAAGTTTCTCTGCTGAGGTTTAAAGGCTGCAGCGATGGATGGAGGCTGTTCCTCTGAGTTTAATTGTTCCTGGGGTGTACTGACCTTGAAATTCATGTTTTCTAAAGATCGAGCATCTGGATCGTCTAATTGTCAGGAGTTTCTTTGATTGCATCGAGAGTATTGATGCCTGCAGTAGGGCTTCAACTACCAATTATTTTGCAAAACGATTAACTTGTTGATTATTTTTAGATTAATCAATAAATAGTCGAATAGCGAAAGAAGAGTTTTTTTAATTTGAGGAGATCTGTTGAGAGTTTTTTTTTATCTTAAAAGGAAAATGTTTAAATATTTTTTTACCATCTTGGTATAATGGCTGCGCTAAATGGGTCACTCTGTCACCTACAGGCATGTTTTATAATCTCTATATTCCAGGTAACGGTTAATCGCTTACTAAAGTATTTGACGTTTATTTTAATAATCGATTAATCATGATTAATCCAATTAATTATTTTTCAGCCCTAGCCTGCAGTAAGTAAGAATGAGCTAAAATCTGATTAACTTCCTCTCCTCTCGGACCACATGGTGGTGCTGTGTCCTCATGAACTTTAGCATCTCTACAGTTTGAGAAAATCTGAGGATCCTGAAGAGCTGCTGCCTGTGATCCGTCCTTTAAACACTAATAACTTTGAGTGATTTGCAGATGAAGTTCATTAGAGCCATGTTAACAGTTAACTTGACCATCACTTGGTTGTTAATTATTTCTGTACGCTGGCTGTCGGTGATTAGTCTGTGCCGGAGTGGTCGGTAATTAGACCCTTACCTGTGTTTCTCTTTAATTTACCCGTACCTGGAATTCTAATTGATTATCTCCTTACTTGAGTCATTATTAATTGCTCTGTACCTTGATCTTCATTATTTAGGTCCTTACCCAGGTTTTCATTATATGTGCAGTGCCTGGCTCTTTATTAATTAGGGCTCTACCTGGGTTGTCTTTCTTTAGGTCTTTATCTACATGTTTTGTAATTTGGTTTTGAATATTTTTTAGCAATTATAATGGAAAATCATAATGACCAAAATCCCCCACAATTTGTAGATATTTAGGGTTTAAAAAAGGCATTTTTAATTATTGCACCAGCAGCAAAACTTTCAACAGTTAAGTTCTGTTGTGGTCTTGTTTGTTTACCACTAGCAAATGTTGATAATCACAGTTTATTTCTGCAATTGGCAGCTAATAAATATTAATAAAGATGGCAATAACTATCACTGTATTACCAAACCATAGACTTAAAAGGCGTGTTTGAGTGCTTACTTTTAGAGACAGGAGATCAGTCTCGACGGACCGTTATGCTCTAAAAAAAGTCACCGTTACGCTGAAAATCAGGCCGATGCGCTCATCTTTATAAGCATAATGGATCTTTGTCATCTGGGCTTCCTCCTCAGCTCATCAGCACAGATGCTAAATAAGTCGCTGAGACTTTTAGAATCAAAATTGACCTTTAAATGAGCGTAACATCCGTGGTAAATGTGTTTTTAAACACATTTATTTGCATATATACATAAGGAAAGCGCTGTCGGAACATGAACTCCAACCGACACACCGCTCACCGAGGAGGTTGAACATGCTGCAGCCCCAATAGCAGAGAGAAAGCTTTAAAAAAAACAAGAAAAAAATAAAAATCTGCAGTATTGTCATCTAATATATACAAAAATGCTGTAGAAACATCCCTACTGGCCACAGCAGGGAAGCAAAGAAGAACAAAGGAGTTGGTCTGACTTAGCTAGCCTGGGGTCTGCTGAAAGTTTTCTGATTAACACACTTTAAACAATCACAGCAACATTTAGCAGAAAGTTCAAAGCAAGAGCTTTAAACTTTAAACCTGCACAAGGCTACAGCTAAAATAGCTTCCTGCCAGACATTGGAGAAATGCTAAATTAGACCATTTTATTTTGTTTCTGGGTCAGGAACCGACTGGATTTCAGCCTTACTGGTCTGAGCGGTTCCAGTAATAGAGCAGTGAAGGGTAGAAAAACAGGAAGGAATGCAACGTCTCCTTTGGAGATTCTCTGTCTTTGGATGTCAGGCTGTTGCACTGATCCAAAGACCTTTGTGCTAAATGTTCATGCATACGGATTATAAAGCTAAGCTGATCCAGAAAGCTTCATCCACTGAATCAGTAGAGATCAAACACTGTGATTAAGGCTGGATGAGGCCTTCTTATTAGCAACGTTAATGCAATAGTGTCCGGTGGCGTTTTGAGTCTTTTAGTACTGTTTTGAAGTCAGAGCTACAACGATTAGATGTGTAGTTGCAGTTTCTTCCAGTCAGTATTTATCATTAGCTTTCTGTTCCATCTCTGATGTCTCTGTTTCCTATCTTATCAGTCTGTCTCTCTTCTATCTCTGCAGATGCCTACGTCCCCCCGCAGCTCTTCTACAATGGGAAGGTCGACTACTTTGACCTGCAAAGACTGGGGGGGCTCCTTTCTCACCTGAAGAAAACCCTTAAAGGTGAGACAATCGTTCATAGAATAAATTAGAATAGAACTTTATTGATCTCACATTGGAGAAATTCCCTTATGACATTGGCTCTTATAAACAAAGAAGAGGTTCACAAAGGAGGAAAAGGTGCTTGAAGTACATAGAGTGCATCCAGATATATACAGTGAATGGTAAAAAATAAAAGATATTTAAGATGATGGCAGGTAAAGTACGGTTTCTGGTTTGTTAAATAGAGAATAGTATAAGTTATTGCAGTGTTATTACACCAGGTTATAGCGTAGTGGCATTGTTGAGTCTGATGGCAGCAGGGATGAATGACCTGTGGTAGCGCTTCTTTTTACACACGCGGGTGTATAATTCTGTTACTATATGAGCTGAACAGCTCCTCTACAGTCTGGTGCAGGGGGTGAAAGGTGTTGTCCATGATGGATGTACAAGGGGCGTTCAATAAGTAATGCCCCTGACCCACTTCCAGATGTTCGATCGACCTGAAATTTTGCATATGAAATTATTTAAATCTCTATAGATTAAATAGCAAATCACAGCTCTGAGCTAATTGTGGTTTCTGATTTACAGGTGTTCCAACTGAGTCAGGTCTGTGTTTTTGCATATGAGAGGCGCACACAACGGGAGACTTTTCATCAAATGAAAGTAACTTATAGTGATAATGTCCCATAATATAACCTTGTAAAACATTTTGCAAGGTCATATAACGGGCATCATCACCATAAGTTACTTTAATTTAATCAAAAGTCTCCCTTGGTGTGAGTCCTTTCAAATAGAATAAGCGGATCACTGCTCAACACTCAACAGGCTGCATTTCAGACTTTACTCAGTTCAGACACCTGTAAGTCAGAAACCACAAATAGTTCAGAGGTGTAATTTGCTACTTAATCTATAGAGATTTAAATAACCTCACATTCAAAATTTCAGCTGGATCAAACATCTGGAAGTGGGTCAGGGGCATTACTTATTGAACGCCCCTCGTAAGCTTGGACAACACCCTCCTTGGACTCCCTCCTCATATAAGGAGCGATGGTGCTCTCATCCTCATCATTGCAGTTAGGAGATAAAAACAGGGACTTTTTAAACTGGTTAGACTGGTTTCTTTTCAGCAGAACAACCCCTGTTAGAAGGTTCTGCTGAGCTCAGTTATAGTTTACCATACAGAGGGTCTCCACCATGAAAATGTGTAGAAGAGGATGATGGTATTTTTTGGACCATCGGCTTTTGATGTTGTCAACCTTCATAGTTGCTATGATGGTCTTCATCAGGAGGCCTGGACATCTTTCTTCGCTGCTCACACTGATGATCAGATTTAGATGGAGATCCGACCCCATTCAGGGTGCTGCCGCCTCCTCTTCCATTTTCCCTGATGAATGTGTTTTATGTTTTCCAGATGACCTTTCCAGTAAGGCCAACATCGTCATCGATCCTGCAGAGATCCAAGCCGCTTCCATGGACGACCTGGATGAAGATGAGGAGAGCGGTGCTGCTCAGGTCTGGAGGATTAGCTCTGATTCAGGGGTGTGGCTTGAAACCAATTGACCCAACAGAACAATAGAGGCTGGTTTAGAACTATTAGATATACCAGCAAGCAGCAGATAGGGAGGAGAAGGACCCAACCTGTCCTGCTCTGTCCTCTCCTGACCACTTCTCCTCTGTTCTCCTCTCAGAGGCCTTTCGGAGCAGCAGCGATGGGCGGAGCTTTAGCCAGGCCCAGCTGGTTGAGTTCTCCCACTCTGGGCCGGGCCAACCGGTTCCTGAGCACGGCCGCGGTCAGCCTGATGACCCCCAGACGGCCGCTGTCTCAACCAGAGAAGGTCAAGGTCCGGACCTTGGCTGTGGAGCAGCGTACCGAGGAGGACAGTGAGTGATGCCTGGTCTCTGGACCCCTGGGGTTCTGCTGTTGTCTAGGTTTAACTTCCTTCTTCCTGTCTCCTCTCTGCCATGCAGTCGAAGGGAGCCACGGAAACGACGGCCTGTTGCTGGGGCGACCGCAGGAGGAGCCAGATCAGCCAATCACAGACAAGTCTCTGCTTGAGATCATCGACGGTATCGTGATGATGTACAACCTGAGCGTTCACCAACAGCTGGGGAAGGTCAGTCATGTGACTGCTGCTGTTACTGAAGCCGTGCCACCATGCAGCAGCAGCCATCTTGTTGCATTACTAATCTATTATAGAGGGCAGGAGTTTTACACAGAAATAAAGATTTGAGATGAAATGGATCTAATGAGGCTGTTAAAAGGAAATATCCTCCATATTTCTCTTCAATGATGTAGTATTCATTTAATCATCCTGGGTTGTATTACAGCATTATCTGCAGAGCCTATTCAATAAATAGATTATCCCCCTATGTCTGCTTCTTATCTTGTGCATTTGCACAGGATAACTGCAGCCTGATTGAATCACAAATAGAAGAAAATGATCCTTAACTCGCAGTGCAGTGATGTCATCCACCTGTGACCGGTCCTAATAATTGTGGGACTTTGCCGCCACATTTTTTACCTTCTGTCCACACGTTAATGCAACATCCTGCAATTGACTGCCTCAAATATTGAAAAGTAAGATAAAAATTAATCAATGGGTGCTTTTCTCAAATGTAAAGAGCAGAGCTCTACTTACTACCACAGAGTCCAGAAATGATCTAGAATAAGTCTATGATTGGTTTACATTTACAAACACTGATCAGCTGCAGCTCCATTAGAGGCTCCCGGTGCGGGATGTTGGGTCAGCCAGAAGGAATGTGCTCTCAAACAGCATCAGAACCTGCTGCTCCAGATCTGTCAGGATTAAACGTGTTCCTGTTCCTGGCAGATGGTGGTGGTGGCAGACGAAGTCCATGAATACGCCGTGGCTCTGAAGGACACGGAGGAGAAGATCGCTCGCTGTCCTGCTCGGGTGAGGACAGAATCGGAGCTTTTCTGCCTGCTGATGCTGCAGTTTTTTGTAGTTTTGCCTGCTGTCCTGCTCCTACAGGGGGCAGCAGAGAGCAACAGACGCAGAGCGGAGTCAAACATTAGATCTTCCAGTGTTGATGGGGAGGAACTCTGAGCTGGGTCAGAACCACAGTGACAGCCCACCAGAACACTTCTCTGACTGGATAGAGCCAATAATTAAAACTTTAGACATCTGAACCAACAAATCTAAGTTAAATTAAATGATAAAATAATGTTTTTTCTTTTAGTGCAGAATTTTTCCCCCCTCTTCAGCTTAATCACAGCAAAATTGTAGAAACTCGTTAAATAATCTGACATCATCACCTTCTTCTGCCTAACGAGGTGCAGTTCAGGTTCTCTTCAGGTTCTGATGTCAAATTTCCTCCTTTTAAATTAAATATGTTTTCTTTGGAGATAATTTTTTTGTTTCAGGCGCTGAAAGATCCAAGCAAATGTTTTTTTTAACAGAACCCTCCCTTTTTTCAGTAGAACATTAACATTGGTTTTGTTTGAAGTATTCTGTAGGTTCAGTTCTGATGGTTGTGTTTGAATCCAGCCGGTGACTCTGGGTTGTGTTTATTTCAGCGTGCTGACATCCTGGACGAGCTCCAGAAGAGTCAAAATGTTTTTGCAGAGAAGCTGAACCACCTGAGCCGCAGATTGGCCTGGATCAACGCCACCATCTACTCCAAGGTGCTTCACCGTCTGCAGAACATGCTGGTATGTATCTGACCCCTTTGAGATTCTAACTCCTGCCTGTGTTCAGGAGAAGATGCTGGACGTCTATTGGCTGCTTTGTGTTTGCATCCGGACCATCGAGCACGCCGACGCCACCGGTTCGTTGTTCGCCTTCACTCCAGAGTTCTACCTCAACGTGGCCATGAACGCATACAGCGCCCTCAAGAACTACTTCAGCCCTGCTAACGGCATGGAGGAGCTGCCAGGTAACTAATGGACTACAAAAAGATCTAGAAACAAGTAAAAATATCCTAAATTAAGTGTTTTTACCCTTAACTTGAGAAGGTAAGTAGGATTTTTTGCCAATGGAATGAGTATTTTTACTCTTAAAATAAGATAATTAGATAGTATGCAATTGAAATAGACAATGCAGTTGTTCTTATTTTAAATGTGAATTATATTTAAATGGTTCTATTGGCAAAGGGTCTCACATCCCTCCTAAATTAAAGAAAAACAATGCATTTATGTTAACAAAAATTACTCTTTTAGGTTTTTTTTCATGGGAATGCATCTTTCACTTTTTTTCAGCTTTCCAAAAAAAAAGAAAAAAGATCAGAAATAAATTGATACGTTGACGTCATGAACGGTGTCTGCTCCTATTTGATAACAAATTCCCTGTACTGTCAAAGGCAATATTTAATCATATATCTCACCTTAGTTGACTTTAGGCTTATAAGGCGTAGAAAAAGAGGAAATAGAGGACATCTGGGCTCAGAGGGTCAAACATTCATGCTCAGCTGCGTGAGATCCTGTCGACTGAAGATTCTCAGAAGCTGAGTGAAACCATCACTTTAATCACAGTTGGGGCTGCAACAAACCATTATTTAATTTAGATTAGCCGGTTGATTATTTTTTGATTAATTGTTGATTAAGATATAAAATTGCTTCCTCTCTTTTCCAAATTTGAGCTACTGGATGGATGAGCAAATGCTTTGAAAGTTAAATTTTGACTTTCATCCGATGTTTGGAGGGAGATATAGTTACAAAGTGCTCACAAACATTGTAGAGTTTACTTCATTTCCCAGACAACTGTACCATCTCTCTCTCTGTCACACAACGTTTAATTTTCTCCATCAGGCTATGAAGAAACGCTGACTCAGCTCGCCGCCATCCTCGCCAAGCACTTTGCGGACCCGCGCATCGTTGGAACAGGTAACAGGACACACCCAACAGGGTTGCCCAGCTTAGAGAGAGAGATTGATGACGACCAGGTATAGTTAGAGAATAAAGTTCCCTGAAATTAAATCAACAAATGGATTTGCTGCTTTTTAACCCCGTAACCTCAGGAGGTTTTTTATGATTTGCAATCATCACCAAAGTCCTCAGGTTTTCAACCCATTGATTCTGATCCAAGAACCCCTGAATGGGTAAAGGTCAAAGTTATTCATACACTGAATAAAGTTGGAGGTGGATTCATCTAAACACCCCTGCTCCCTGCAGACTTTATAGCAACATGAAGCCCTCACAATAATTGATTTCAAAACAAAGGTGCTATAGAATAAATAACCACAAGCATGCTTAGTGTGAGGGTTTGGCTTCGAATCATTGAGTCGATGCAATCAACTGGTTTTCCTTGGATAGAAAACTTTGAATCAATTTGACTGGATGATCTGGTGAACTGGAAAGTGCCTTGAGATGACGTGTTGTGAATTGGGGCTGTATAAATGAACTCAACTGAATTGAATTAAGATCACTTAGATCTAAGTGAGCACTTTCAAAAAAAAATAATAATGATAGCAACATTAGACCAGTTAGAATTGTTTACAGTCAGTTTTCTTGAGGTTTTGTTCAGATCAGTTGGGAGGCTACAGGTTTTGTTGTGACTCGGTTTGTTCGCTTCTTCAGAGGATTCTCTGTGACCAAAACTAGATGTTTATCAGCTGTAGCAACACGCTGATTGTTGTTTCTCAGGAAATCCATCGATCTGCCTGCAGCCGTCCAGCAGCTTCTTATTGGGACAATTAAAATGGGCGATGCGTTTAGGCTCCTCTGTAAAATCCTGGAAACACTTAGTTCTTAGCCTGTTTTAATCATCAGACTAAAATAAAAATATTCTCCTTTTACCTGACTTATTTATGAGGAAAAAAAATAATATTTTATTCTTAAAAGGAAGAAGAAGAAGGTTTCATTCTTGCTGTAGCTGCCACTCAGATGTTCACTAAAGCTAAGCTGTTATCCACACATCAGGGGGCGCTGCAGGGATAGATTGTTACTGTGGGGGGATTGTGATGTTTATCCGACTACTTAATGGTAGATCTCCTTCACTAAAGTGTCCCTGTTCCCTCAGATATCAAAGATTCCCTGATGCAGGCGTTGGCCAGCTACGTCTGTTACCCACAATCCCTCAGGGCGGTGGAGCGGATCCCAGAGGAGCAGTGAGTCTTGAGATTTATCTTAGTTAATCTGGGACCAGGATCAGAACCTGATGCGCTGATGTTGATCCAAAAGGCAAAATCCTTAATAGTTTAGCTGAGGAGGACCAAGATGGCATTTAATGAGGGAATCCTCCTCCCCTCATGTAAAACCACGACATTATGAAAACACTTCTAATGAAAATATAAAGGTACAGGTGTGCAGAAGGTTTTTTCTTTCTGGTTTCAGGCGAGTGGCCATGATGAGGAACCTTCTGGCTCCATATGAGCAGAGGCCCTGGGCTCAGACCAATTGGATCTTGGTCAGACTTTGGAGGGTGAGTACCAAAACACAAGCAAATTCTTATCTAACTAGGTAGATAGGAGCATCTGTCTGCTTTTGTATTACCAAGCCCAGATCTGAACTGGTGTTTTTATGGAAGAACTAGAACTCAGTGTCAGGTTCTCCTCAGGTGTTCCTCCTCTGCTGATGTCTCTAAACAGCTGCTCTTCCTCCTCTCCTGTCAGGGTTGTGGGTTTGGCTACAGGTACACCCGTCTGCCTCACCTGCTGAAGACCAAACCTGAGGACGCCAACCTGCCCAGCCTGCAGAGTAGGTTCTGGTGTGACTGTGTCTGCGCTATTTGTGGTTAACTAATCCAGAAGCAATGTCTGTGAGTAGGAACCAGAACTAGACGAAAATAAAGAGATAAACATGGTCAATTTTTCCTCCCGTTTGCCCTAAATCTGTCTCCCCTGGAACTTCATTTGGAGCCTGAGATTGCAGAAGCAGAGTTTAACCAATGAAATAATAATCAGCTGAAGATGCGATAAAACAGGAGGCCTCATCAGTCTGTCCGAGGAGATAAACATCAAAGGAAAGGCAGAAATCACTCATTCTCCACAGCATTAACTTCTTCTCTCGGCATGTTGGGGCATTTTTATGGTTTTTGAAGTTTGATCCAGTTTCTGCTCCTTTGATGGATTTCCATAAATAAAACTGTCCATCCGTCTCCGGCAGGTTTATTTTTACTGCAGCTCCGATTTACAGCTTCACTCATTCCCTGTGTGTGTGTGTGTGCGCGTGTGTGTGTGTGGGTGTGTGTGTGTGTGTGTGTGTTTCAGAGTCTCTGTGTTGTAGAGATGAAATAGTTTATTTCCGGAGGCAGAACAGAACCAGAGAAACATCAGGTTCCTCCAGTAAAAATTTTATTCTGGATTTCTCACATCTTAGATTTTATTTTTTTGGCAGAATCATAGGTTCAGGTTCTGTTTCTGCTCCCCTACCCAGAATCCTTGGACCTCCCCCTTCTGTTCATTTTATGTTCTGTTTGAAGGAATCTGTCTCTTGTTTTCATGCATGCTCTCTGACCTCCATCCATGTCTTCTCTGCATGCCTGTCAGGAGATCTGTCCATTGCTAGCTTCCAGAGTAAGTTCTGTTGTTTTCTGCGTGCTGTTGGTGCTGTCCATCATGCTTAGTGCTGGCTCAGCAGTTAGTGCCTCTGCTGCATTTTCTGCAGCAGGAAGCATTTGCTTCCAACTGATCAATAATCACTGCTGCTCAGCTCCATGTTCTGTCATCCAAGGTGAGCTGACCCAGAGAAGGTCTTGTAATCGCACCAATCTTTCAATCATTCTGAGTCCCAGAAGAATTAATCTACACCATGAATGTTAGCGGTGCAGAAACGGGTGAGACAAACTGTCCAGACCTGGTGAAAAAAATCACCTGCAGGTTTATTACAGTCCGATCAGATGCATCTCTGCTTTTGATGTGCAGTCTGGATTAACATAACTGATCCAGTTAGATCAGGGGTTGGGAACCTAAACTGTTCAAAGAGTCATATTTGACCAAAAAAAGAAATCTTTCTGGAGATGCAAAAATGTAAGTCTTATATAATCCCCATATGGCAACACTGGCTCTATTAGCCCACTATTTAAAAAAAAAAGATTATGTAAGCTTAAATATATAATAAGCATTCATGATTAAATGTTTATCCTGGAGCAAATGTCACATCATGGGAGTACTGTGCTGTATGATATCTAGTGATTTTTGTTTAAATTCCATTGCAATATTTATATATTAGTTTTCTTTTTGCATTCATGATATCATAGAAACACAATAAAGAAATCAGATTTTTGGTGTTATTTTTATTTTGAAGATTTGGGGGAAAAAATGGAAGAAAGTTCACACACCTGCATAAGAGCCCTACCTGTTCGATTATGCTTGCAACAAAACTAGCAGCTGTAGTGAAGTTTGCAGATGCAATCCACTTCTTAAATGTATCTTTGGTGCTCCTGTAATTTATCCAGAAGTTCTGCAATTGCAATTTTTCTCTCAATCCCAGCTTGGTGGTTGGTTGCAAATTTAACA